CTTCGCGCACTTAACCTCTCACACTGCATGATCGATGGGCTCCACTCCTTGACGCGCAATCCCCTCCCGGCCATCTCGGCTCTCAACCTCCGCGCCAACCGCCTGCAATCAATCGCCGGTATTGAGAAGCTCTACCCTCTTGAGCGATTGGACCTTCGAGACAACCGTCTGTCAGACCCTATGGAGCTGGCCAGACTCACCGGAATCCCTGACATTCGGGAGATCTGGGTTGAGGGCAACCCCTTCACCCGCACCCACAAGGATTACCGCATCACGATCTTCAACCTCTTCCGCAAGACCCCGGGCTACACCGAGGATGTTGTCATTGACAATTGCGGTCCCACGTATTCGGAGAGGAGGTACCTGGTGGAGCGTACTCCGGTGCCCGCCGCCGTGCCGGTCGTCAAGCCCGCCCCCGCCGACATCCCGGCTGTTGACGTCAGCAAGCCAGCCATCATCTACGACATCCCCAAGGAGCCTTCCGTTCTCCGCAAGGAGCGGCCAGTCCCCAAAGCTGTTACTAGCGAGGTGAACACTAGTTCTACTCGCCGCCGCAAAACACCAAAGAGACGTATAGTAGACCTTTCTACCACCGACGCCTCTGTGACAGTAACTCCTGGTATCGCGCCGCCACCCCCTGCGGACATTAAGGTGCTCGCTTCTGATGCAACAGCCACCGCAGTCGGTTCAGACACCAACAACTACCGTATCTCGCAGGCCCCTGAGATTCCTCCACTTCCCTCCGCCGTTCTGGCCGACAATCGAAAGACCAACTCCCAACCTGAAGTGCCCCGCATAGACACTAGCGTGGTTCCCGAACTTCCCCCCATCTACACAACCCGCGATACTCCGTCAGACTCCCAGGACTGGGATGTCAGCGGGGAGATGTACCGCCGGAAGATCGAGGCATTGCGGGACAAGGTTGGCAATGGCTACCTCAGTGTGCTCAGTGAGGAGGGCTGGGATCCCTCTCGCCCGCCAACATACTCGGTGCCAGACTTCAGCCCAGCCTCGACAGTTCGACCCAGTCCTACTACTCCTCGGACTAACTCTCACCACCATCCCGCGGCCATTCACAGTGGTCGCACCCTTGGCTAAAGAAAAACACTTGCCCTTTCTACATGATACCCTTCATGATACCCCCACCCCCCTCTTGAGGTTCGATTCTACCGTTGGGCTGCTTTCTTGCATTTTTCTTCTGCAGCATTGCACATGGCATGGCCACGAGCATGGACGTTGGCTTCATCTCCATCCATTGTGTTATTCGTTACTTAGTTTCAGCATGGTAGAGCATAGCGTACAAGGCGTTCTGGTTTGGCGGTCAACTGGCTTCAGTCTCCGCAGTTTTCTCTTGATACTGATTACACCGCCTGAGGTGGTAGAAGGCCACAGTAGATCTTGTCGCTTTCCCGTCTGTTTGGTTTCTCAGCGCGACCTCGACAAAGAGGTCTCTCTCGGGCATCACGGGGATGGGAGGGATAAAAAGCGAGTGACATTGGGCGCGAAGGCATCTTCTTCTTTCTCTTCTCAAGACTTGTTTTCTTTTCATATTGCAGGCTTCAATTTGGCGTTGGCGGAAACACATCTCGAGTGGCTTTAGTCATTTCTGGTTTCATGGGGCACGAAAAAAATCCCGCATGAGTTGCATTGTGTGTTTGGTTACGGTAGATGAATACTTGTCCATAAGACAAGCTGGTGGATGGCTTCTAATACATGATGAAACGCATACTTCATTGACGATGCTTCATTCGCTGTGCCTCGCAATGTGATGTATCTGTAACACTTTTATTGTTACTGGACAAACCTAGTCTTCTCGATCTGGAAGACAATGGTCTCAATAACTGAAGCCCCATACTATGCTATCCTACATCCCCCCGACGGAGCAATCCGTCGGGGCCGTACCGTGTATTATGTATTGGGGAAAACTGGGTATATTGCGGCGAAGAGGGCAGCTTGCCCATCCCGAATTGCATGGCGGTTTTCGTATCGAAATCACCATATTGGGTTGAGCGCGTGCTTGGGGCACATTGCGCGTACCGTGTAGTTAAAAGTGTACCGTATCGTGTGATTTCCCTTAAAAGCCTGATCCCGTTAAGGTCGATCTTTTGCGCCTGTAAAGCCGGGAAAAAACCACCCCATGCTATCCTACATGTTGTCTTGGGTCATGGCTTGGTTGAACACTGTCCGTCAAGTCGACTGACTGTGAAGAAGGGGCTGCTTAAAGAATAAATGGCAGACTCACATGACACAGACCCCAGTGAACTGGTTTGCAGATATATATCACCGTGAGAGGGGGGATTTTGCATGGATTACCGTTCAGCCGCAACTCGGGAGGAGCGGTTGTGTTTACATCCACGGAAAACGATGAGCCACCATTCTCGAGGAGAAGAGAGATTCTCGGGTAGAGTGGATGGTGCTGCGCTCTCCCGAGGTGTGTTAGCTGGGTAAAGTACTGATAAGGCATGGTTCGCGCGCATCTGATTGCTGGCGTTGTGTTCGGTCTTTTGACTTTAGAGGCGCTTAGGTGAGTGGTTCGCCGGCTTTTGTAACGTCATGGCCTTTTCTGTGAGGTAGGGTCTTTTTCCGGATCATGTTGCTCATTTGTTTGATATTTCAGGTGTCATTAGCTTCCCGAGTTATTCTGTATGAAATACCTGAGAGGTATGTTACGTGGTTTGCAGCGGTCAAGGTGTCTGCCAGCTCTTCCAGGGAATAGGAGGGATCCGGACTGATTACCCTACGCTGAAAGGCCGATGACCATATGGATGAGGGGCTGTCTTTGGGTTCGAAGGACAGGTTTACTGAGTTGATGCCATTCCGACGTCTTCGTGAAGATGTGTCTCTATGATGGCGCTCTTGAGGACAAAATGGTGATTACGGGTGATTGCGGATGACTGTAGTGATCCTCAGCGAATCACTTGTAAGGGCATTGAAGAGCTTCTTTGGTGGTGGTCCTTGTGATTTTCTTACTTATGGTTGGTTCCATCTAAGATGTGTTTGATCCTGTGTACGTAGACTTACAATAGTACGGCTACCCCAGGCTAGGGGGATTATTCCCTAGAAGTTTCTAAGAAAGGAAGATGTCTGATAAGGGGCTGTATATAATGATATTTAGTGTTGCAATGGGATTCTTTCTTGCAAGACATACTGATAATCCTGGGAGAGGAATTGGTAGAACTTGAGTATCGGTAGGGAACTGGCCTGCATAGCCCCGTGTACTCTCTCACTTACAATCTTGAACCCAAACTTTAAAGTCAAGGAAAGATCGATTTCACTCACGCTTTCTCCAGGTACCTGCCTGCCCGGCCGATATTCGGGTGTGAATACCGGGACAGAAGGGATCGATGAGCCAAAATGAAACCCTCTCGTGACCGTATATCTCTTGGAGTATAGCTGATGATGGGGTAGCGTTCGCTTCTGCCACGGCTCCGATGAAGTATTTCATGTTGCGACTAACAAGAAACCCACCTCGGCCACTAGATCTCGAAGCTGTAATCGGCAAGACGTCGTGTCCGGATGAGGCCTTAAGTACCTTCCCTCGACGATAATTGCCCCCGGTGATAAAGAGCCTGACCAAAATAAGACAAGACCGCCTGACCAATAGGTCGGGCCATCTTCTATGAGTCCATTACACCCACCAGCGCTAGGTTTCAATATTTGGAAGGCGTGACGAATCTTCTGTACAAGAGAGCTGCTTACCCCTCAACTCCGTCTTTAATCATCACCTAGAGCTGCACTACGTCTCTGAACGAGGAATACGATAAGTCATGAGAGAATCATGTTCTTTACTCCCATCTCATCTCGACGCAACTCCCAGGAGTGAAATGTGGTTACGTTTCGGCTAGACTCTCCTATCAGAGCGTTGCAAAGCGTGGCGAGAACTCATGCCCTGGTCTCACATCCAAAGCTTACCTAGGCTTCGCTAACGGGTATTTTCTGCATTATGTTAAGGTTGAATGTGGATAGAATGGTGGGCATGGAAGCGTGACGGCTCATGAGATGGAGTGGTCTGTACGAGGTGGCGGTTAGCGGTGCGGGCGCATGCTGAGATTATTGCTATCTGAGTAGCCGGCGCCTGTATCACTCTTCAAAGACAAAATATTAATTTCATCAAGACTAAGGAACGGAACGCTACAAGGGCCGATAGAAACAGATGTTTCTCGTAAACTTGCCGACGCCGATTGATTCGGACGCAGGACAAATCGTCAAGAGTTGTATTACAGGAAGCAGCATCCGCCATGTTCTCCCAAAATCGCAACTACTCTAGGTGTCACCAGTTTCCCGTTTTTGGGATTGCCGAGGAGGAAAGCGAGACTTCTAACCTTTTGCTCGGATTTTTCTCGAAGTTACCAAACGGCTGGCACTGTTTGTTGCACGGGATCGAGTTGCCGGTATCAGACAACGCCGATTTTATTACGCATCGTGAGGTGGTATTATCTGAAATGACTCGGCGAACTGGCGAGAAGGGACTTCAAGACACAATTAGATTCATCTGTTATGTTTTTTCGATATTGAAACCTCCCCATAACCTGAGCGGCACTCTCGAAATTTGAGAGATCTTGATCCCTGAACGTAAGCGGCCAGTTCGTCCACTGCATTGGCTTATACAAGACAGCATCACATGATCCTCTGAAAGCCAGCGGCAGTATTCACCATTCAGATCAAGAAGATGCTTGACTGTATCTGTTCTCCTGTCATCAGATCTCTCGCGAATGTATCTTCCTGATTTTAGCTTAAAATACCCTTACGACGGTGAAAGTGCGCCTGCCTGAGTATACTAATGGTACGGCGAAAAAGCCTTACGTCTTGGAAACAGCTTCAAAGCAAGGCGAGAGATCTTGTCACGAACCTCAAAATTCCTAGCAGAGTTTTGAAAACACATATACTTATCAGAGAGGTATTGCCGAGAAAGGAAACGACTGGACTACCAAAGGCTGATGAGATGACCATGAGCTACAGTCTAGGCTCGGCAGGATGAAGCTTGCTCCTTGAAGCTGATGCATTCTCTTTGAAACTATAACGTGAGAGTCCGTGCCGCACATAACGAGGGCTATTAAGACAGCATATTCCATACTGGAATATTGTAATGAGTATCAGAAGCTGTATCGTACTTAGGATAATGTGTCCCGGGTGTCGTGGCGAAGAGGGAAATACTGTAATAGGCCAGTGCCTGTAAGGATGCTGGTGATGAGTCCGAGAAGGGACAAAGGGATTGAATAGCTGCAGATGATATATACCGAGGGTTGATGGCACATGCTGGTCACGTAAATCCATGTACTGGAATAATATTCGATGGGCAGCTGTGGTCTGACTTGGACTGAGAGAGCAATCAACTGCGTAGACTTTAGTCCAGACAAGGCTTGTTTCTCATCTGCCTGTATACTAGATCCAAACACATAGTCTTCAAGCGCGAAACACGTCTCGTTAAGGCCTTGTCAGTTTCAATGCATGTGCCGTAGCTCAGAAGGGCCTGCTGTTTTCATGGCCGGTTCAGTCTCGAGTCACACCTGAATGCAGAACGATCTGTTGGAACTCCTGGTTTTAAGCAATATAAGTTACAGGTCAGACGCTAGACTTTAGTATATGTCCAAATATTGCAAGCTAATGCCCCTTTGGGGTGAAAAATCATAGAAAACACGCCGTACGCGGGTCACACTAACTACTATTTCTCTCTCCCTATTTCGGGCCCCGTTTCCTCACGATGTAAAGAAGATGTCAAGTGGATGATGCTTGGTGGAATCAGGAGCGCTATGCTTGCTACGCGGTGGCTAGGAATCAGAACATTCACGCAGCCTTCGTCAGTGGATAACCTGCCTAGGGAAATATTTGAAGGCCATTTTCAACAGATAAATCGTCTACGAAAATAGCAATCTGTATTGGGAATAGAGGAATGATCTTTGTAATTCGACAGAAACCGTCTCAGCATGTCGTCCAAGCAGGTAGAACGCTGTGGCCCTGTAGATGGGATCACCCAACAACCCCTTCAATCTAAGTGCTGGCAATGCAAGTGAAAAAAAGCGAATTAGTAGCTAAAACTCTTATGCTGGAGTCTATGCCGATCTGATGAGGAAGCGGCCAATTGGAGGGATGAATAGGGGGCCTTGCGACAGAGAGCTGCAAGTTCAGAAAGCAAGAGCCAAGCGCAGATGGCCGATAATACAAAAGCCAGTAACTTGTCGACTGAATTGCAACCTCGCTGTCGTTGACGAAATGTTAAGCATCGACGTAGGCAACATTTGAGGATCAGAGTGGGTGGTGACAATGCTCCCGGCGGTCGGGCCTGGGTAAGGCAAAGTATCACCGGAAATGGCAATTCAATGACGATGATGGATGGTCTGTGAGTGCGCTATCCGACCAAGACCGTTTGCGGTCAAGAGTTCGCGTGCAGATCCAGCTGTGTCCAGGATGCGGAAACCCGCAGCATCTGCAGGGCCATGTGCTGCGCTATGATAGCCAATTCTGTGTTGTAATAACCTGCCCAGATCAGACATAGATCGGCCTACTGCCATCCTATGAATATAAATGCTAACAGAATAAGATATAACAAGACAATTTGAGATGAGGAGGCTGCAGGGGAATCAGAATGACTGAGTAAGGCTCCTGGGTGCGTAGTCAGTATTATGAGTATGACTGTACTGAATGGCGTGCGAATGAATGGTGTCGTGTTGCGATTCATGTTTGACTTTGGGAGTGCACTATCCGATGATGCGACGATGCAGGTGTGGATTTCCGTAATGAGACAAGAAGACCAATAACCGGTGTCCAGCGGCCAAGAGTTCAAGGGCGCGGAGGAAATGAGAAAACGACCAGTCTGCTCGAATGGGCATTTTCTGGGGGCCGGTTGCGAGCATCGGTGCGGGGGTTTGTACTGGACACCCCGCCATTTGTATCAGTGCCGGGCCGGCCTTAGCACCGACGCAGTTCCCTTCCGACCCGGCTTTGGTTCCGGAGGGCAGGAGAGGCGGCGCCGGGTGTGGGGGGAAGAGGCAGCTAGGCTCCAGTTACAGAAGGAGCGTTGTGCAACAGAAGAAGACATTGGAAGGAGGCACCGAGAACCTGGCACACGTAGCTCTGATCAGACGTTAGCAATTGTTTCTGGTTTGGGTATCCGTAGATATCCAGGCACTTACTTGCAATCAAGAACCTTCTTCTCTGCATCTCCCAACCAAGCAATCGAGATGCTTCATTGCGGCTTTCATCTTCACCCGTTACATCGTCTGTGTTATGCAGTATCATTCGCCACCACCACTCACCATGACCGACTTTGCTGCGTCAATACATGATGCGCCTTTGCACCTTCAGGTCCAATCTGAACTTCATTCATGCGTATCAACTGTCGTTTTCAATACCTCAAGCAATATCAGCGCCCCAGTAAGCCCTGGACCATAGCAATCGCAAAGTGTAACCGAAGCTAACGGTAGTATTGACGAAAATTAGAACGCCGCGGAGAATGTCACCCGGGTGCTTAGTCGATTCAGCCCCAGCGAACGATCCTCCGGGAAGCACGCACGGCACGTTAGTCGATTTGAGGGGGATGGTGCCTTACCACGCTGTCGGAACCATTCCAATCGAAGCACGTTGTCTCAATGGATTAGTCGCCTACGCCGATGTGAGATGGAAATCTCCGGTCATGTCGGCCCCAAGGCCCAGGGAAAAGGGAGAGGAATGATGGTTTCACATCTTGGACACGCTTCTGCAAGCCTCGCCCGTCTCGCGTGCTCACTGTAGCCTGGGGCCCCAGCAGATTCCAGCCCAGTCTAGCCCAGCCCAAAGACGTTCGGCCGAGCCGTGGCCTCTCAAGGTCCAGCCACACCTCCAGCACTCGCCCTACGGTGAGCTCATGCATATTGTGCATGGCAGCAAGCCACCAGGCGAGGGTCACAGTGAAGTGACAGGGCAGGCAGCAAACGCCGCCGCTAAATCGTAAAAGCATGTCTCGGGGCCTCTTGCTTTTCTCATCCAACGCTAGCGAGCGGTGGCGCCACTGGCTTTGCAGGCTTGCAAAACATTGATCCAGCTCCACGATGAATGCCATGCTTCTTCTGCGCTCTGCAAGAAAGATCTGCGAGACGACTGCTTGGCTGCGAGGTGTCTGTGCCACGCATATGGGGGCCATCTATTCGTACGTCTGAACTCTGAACCTCATCAAACGAGCCTTGGATAGTGTCGCACACCGGCGCTTCGTCACATCGTACACACGGAGAGTCTTGAACGTTTTCCCCCTCTGAACATGAGACTGGCATTTTTAGGCTGCGTCCAGTCGAATGTTGTGCACGCCTTTTTCGACCACTCACTGGCTTCGCTTAAGATTACGAGCCGCAGCTCTGACAGCTCCCTTACCGTCTTTGCGTTGCTGTCACCCCAAACTCCTCAACTAGACCAGACCGATCCTTTCTTTCGGATATTTGTGGCAGGAAAAGGTCAAGCGCGAAGGCCAGAGATGTGTTCCGCTAGGGAAGGTTCACCATCACCATCGAAGCATCACTTGCCATGCATGTCAATCCATAGCCCGGGACATGCAAATATCTACACTGTAACAAGGTACGGTCACTCTGCTGGTGTATTCTGCCAACCCGATCACGTACGAATACTCCCTCGGAAACCTTGGACTCGGCCGGCATGGACCTATTATCTCTGTCCCTCTTGATACGCTGCACCGAAGCATTATACTGCACAGTACAAGCCGGCGGCGCCGTTCTGGTTGTTTCTAGACGCATACCGCGCACATGGGCACATTGACCCCCATGCTGTCCCGTCAAAGCCGTTTTGGGCCTGGACCTGGTCTTGTCTGTTCTGCTGGAACGGGACATTAGGGTCTCGCCTTCTTCAGAAGATCAGGAACAAAGCTGAGTCAATCTTGGTTCGCCCACCCCCTTGAACACGACTTTAGACCCCTCTCGAATTCTCCCAATCCGACTTGATCCAGATGACATGACGGGGGCCCGGATTTCCCATTGCTCCCGTCTTGAAGGAAACCCCCCCTTGCCCTACAATGCGGTCCTAGCTTTAAGCTGAATCCTGCGTGGCCCACTCCCCCCCCCCTCCTCCTCTCAGAGTTACCCTGGCCTGCATCCTCGACCCTCTCAGAGTCCCCGCTTCGCATCGCATCTTGGTTGCGCGACTCGACTCGCCTCGAGCTTGTTGACCACCTTGACCTTGCCTTTGCCTCCAGCTACAGCTCGACTTTGACTCCACGACCCTGCTTCCCTGAAGGGCTCCGGTCTAAGTAGCTCGCTCACCCCAGTCCCCCGACTCCCCCGTCCCCTTCACCTGGCCTGACTTACGTTGGGCGTAACAAGCGCGCGTCCTTCGTACTTTTGCCCATTTTTTGATGAGTCTCTTGGACTGGCCTTCTGTTCCATATCCGATCAAAGTCTCGCCCTTCCCTCCCTCGCCCGCCCAGTCCTCTCTCTACCCTTTCCTCATTTTCCGTCCGCCCTTGCTCTACTTGTCTCTCGCCTCCACGTCCACGCCCGTCCTTCCACCCGTCGTTCCCCGCCATCGCCGACGCCATCACCGACGCCATCGCCGATATCCGCCTGCCGTAACGGCGGTCCCCTCCATCTCTTTCCCATACCATCCCACCGGTCTTGTCCTGCCCAGCTGTTCAGTCTAGTCCAGCCCTATCCTTTCCTGCTTACCCGCAGCGAGCCAACCCAGCAGCGGCGGCATAACACAAGTTGAGATCTGCTGCTTCCCTCGTCACATCTCATTATCACGTACCTCGAGGTGTTGCTCTTTAAAGTAGCAAACCCCCCCATACCCGAAAGCCCAAGCTTCCCCACTTGCGGTTATCCTCGCCTGCCCATCATCGTCCAGCGAGCTTGCTTGTCTGTCGTCGGAACATGTCAGAAAAGCTTGCTTGAAGAACCGACCCTTACTAGCTTCCCGCCCCCGGGGGAAGAGCACGGAACCGTCTCTGCGGCTGCGGCTTCCGCACCCTCATCTCCTACCCGTCAACCGACTGCAGCGAGAGGGAAGCATGAGCATGCCTATGTTTGCACTTATCCGCACCTGCTATCTGCTGCTATCCGCCTCTCTACCGTTCCCCTTCCGGGACAGCTTGTACACTTACAGTCACTTGTAGTGTATACCCTCGAAACAGCTCCCGCCCAGTTCCGCTCTCCCCCGCCAACCCCGCCGCTGCGACATTTTTGGTGTAGGTGCGGCCGCTGCTGCTCCGATCTCCAACTCCACATCGTCTTCTTGTCGGATAACGGGCATCATCCAGGGTCTATGGACTGTCGGCTGATGCATCGACATCCTCGACAATGACCCGACCCAAGGTCCCAGAGGACAAGCGCCAACGGACTGCACAGGCCTGTGACACATGTAAGCGACGAAAGCAAAAGGTAAGCATCCTCAATTTTCCCATCCCCCACGTACCTGACGTGCCCTACTCTTGTTTTCCTTCTCGTGGCAGAGCCCGGATCCAAGCCTGGCCGACCAGTACTATCGTCACCCTTTGTTGTCATTTCTTCCCACCTTGTCCAGCTCGCTTCCCAGTCCATTGCATTTTACCCCAGCTGTCATCTTGTTAGTGCTCTCAGTACCGGCATAGAGCACCCCTCCTTGCGTTGCCAAACCGTCTTGACAGCTCCCCGCCATTTCCTCGCGCCGGTCTTGGCTAGTTGCCAGAAGAGCCAAGTACGATTCCATCCCAATTACCATGAATGGGAGTTCAGACTGCCCATCATTCAATACCTGGCTCATGTATCGGGAACCATCTCTTGTTGGGTAATTCTCCGGTCCGATATGACGACGGATCCTCTAACCGCGTTGATCGTGGCCTCACAATTCGACCAAAAATATACACTTTAATCGTGCCTATCCATGGAAGCTCCCCTCTCTGCCTTGATTGTCAATGTTACATTGCCAACTAAGTCCGGTCCATCCAAGTGGGTGGTGGGCATCCATGCAGATACACCATCCTCAATCTGTTTTCCGAGCGGTCTCTCGCAGCACATTTCGCACTCATTGCTGAATCCGCTGGACCCTTAAACGGGGCATCTTCTCAAGCACCCGGGGTGCCCCTCGTCAGAGCATGCCTTTGTGGGCAACCCGACGATCTGGTCACAGACTTCCCAGGATCATTGGTTCATCCCATGAAGCGCCCCAGTATCGATCTACAACGGGTTACCGCCTTGCCGGTCTCGTGCACACCGCATCCCGGCCTATCTGAATGACCTCAAGCTCGGCAAGTGCTAGCTATTTGCAATTTTCCGAGACCTTGTCCCGTCCCCCTCCCGCATCACGTTAGTCGCCAAGTCACTTCCAGTCGCTGACCGATACTTGACAGTGCAACGGCGCTCGCCCTTGCGGCACTTGTACCAAGAGGAGTCTTCAGTGTACATACACGACTAGCAATGGCTCCGAGCAGACCACCCCGGACCAATTAGCTTCTCCTTCCAAGCGTCGCAATATTGAAGAACTACCGACGGTGAAGCCAACCGCCCCAGATGGCTCACTCACATCTGAGAGCCCCGCGGCGGCCACGACCCCATGGGACTCGAGACCGAGCCAACCAGACCACGATGCGAAACCAGCCGCCGGGTCTGATATAAAGCCATCTATCGAACAGGACCATGAAATGCTGGGGGTAGACCGCGAGTTCGACATTCGCTCCAGGCACAGCACCGCTTCAGGACCTGATGAAGAGACCTCGCTCATGCAATCTACCAGAATGTTGCAAGATCCTACAGGCAGACTCCGTATGTATCCTGTGCCAGGGCGTGATGTTTATCTTGTTGCTAATCACACAACCAGTCTACGTTGGCGACTCGGCCTCGTTGGCCTATCTACAGCTCATACGAATGATTGTAGAGGCGAGCGTTGGGCCCAGCGACTTTACCATGGATCCTAGCCGCCATAAGATAATGGAGGCGACCAGTGCTATTCCGGATAACATTCGTCCTCCACATATTCTGCCTGACAGGGACACAGCCAACGCACTGCTAGACTCCTTCTTTACGAACGTATGCGATTCTCCTGGGTATTGAATCCGAGGCTTGTAATGCTTGGTCGCTAATTTGCCATAGACCCGCGGCTTGATCGAAGTCTTCAATAGAGCAGCATTTGAAAAGTCCGTGGAAGCCTGCTACACAGATCCATTGGCAGCGCAATCTTCTTTCCTATGCTTATTGCATTTGACCTTTGCCATCGGCACCGTCTTGGGCACACCACTTCCCGGCAGCAAAGAAGACGTGATTTTCAAAAAGCTTCGAGCAAGTCGATATGACCGCGCCGAACTATTCTTCAGGAGCGCCAAAGCTCTTGGTGATCCCATTTCCGGATTTGAAGATGCAGACTTTTGGTCTGTGCAGGCACTTTCCTTGATGGCTGTCTACATGCTCGCGATTTCGAAACGTAACGCAGCATACGCCTACTTTGGTGAGGCCGCAAGTAGCTATTCTGTGCTGGATGTAATAGCTAATCCTTTGAATTCTAGGAATGGCGGTCCGTTCTGGCTTTGCGCTTGGCTTACACAGGGTCCACGAGAACCACTTTATTTTCAATGGCGAGGAGATTCGGCTCCGCCGTAACCTCTGGAGAAGTCTATTCGTTCTTGATCGGTTTCTTGCGGCGTCACTAGGCCGGCCGGTCGCCATTGACGAAGAGGAGTGCTCTGTAGACGCGCTTTTGGTGTTTGAAAAGAACGCCCAAGGAGAATTGATCCGCATCACGGATCCCGATGATGGGCTCGACGCCGCCGTGCGATCCTGTCGAATTGTTGGGCAGATTCTCAAAAAGATCTACGCCCGCCGGCGAATTTCAGTCCGCCTCGCTCAAGAGATCTGGGAGCAGTGCAACTCCTGGTACACTACCCTGAGCCCCGAACTGGCCGGTGGCCGGGTGGCCGCCGATCCCAACAACCCCGCGCAGGGCATTGCGGCTCTTCATGTCAACCTCTTATACTGCCACTCCATTCTTCTCCTGACTCGTCCATTCTTCCTCTGTCTTTTGAGCAAAGTTCACGGCGAGCGAAGTGGCCTCGCTCTGCCGGTTCCCCGCTGGATCAACCGCATGTCCAAGTACTGCGAGGCATGCTTGCATGCTTCTAACCAGACCATCATCTACGTGCAAAAGGCGTTCGAAAGCAACTACCTACCTCAACGGAACCCCTTTGTTCTGTATGTAATTACAATTTTGGACCACAAAATGCATTGTGCTGATATCTACCACAGCTACTTTCTCTTCGCAGCCTCACTGGCCATCTTGAGCAACGAATTCGCATCTATATACCCCAACCCGACTTACGCGGCTTCGATATCCAATACCATTGCTATTATGCGCTATTGTGCCACCAGCGACCCGCAGGCTGCTCGACTTCTCTTCATCCTCACATCTTTCCGCAACGTCGTCTACGAATTACAACAGAAAAAGACCGAGCAGCCAGCCATGCCCGCGCCCCCGGCGCTATCCCCGACATCACTCAATGACCCCATAGGCACCGTCTTCAAGACTTCGCGTAAGAATTCGCTGGCTGCCACAGTGTCGGGCATGACAGCAAACAAAGCCAAGGCAATGGCACCACCGCCGCTGTCAATGAAGACGGACCATAGCTTTCCTACGTCTACAGGCCCGTCAGCCGTCGCCTCGCCGGCCGGTAGTACCCCTAGCATGTCACAGGGCGACCAAAGTGCGCGGATGGGTGGTGACTCGGACACAGGCGACGGAGAGCTCGAGTTCGATCAGCTTTGGGGCTGGTCAGCTGTGCCCAACGCAGGACCTAGAGGGCCTCTTGCTTCGGGGGCAGCGGTGCCAGCTGGTGCCGGAGTGCCTCCTGTTGCGGTAGCTGCGGTTGCAACTCCGACTGTGAACGCGCCCGTGTTCTCTGCGCAAGGCCCTAGCCAGCAACAATTTCAAGGCTTTGCGAACTACGTTGTGTCTGGCGGTCCTAATAGTGCTGCGGTGCCAGCGGCCGGGCCTCCGGGGTACACCGCTCCTAGTGTACCAATGTACGTTCCGGCAGAATACTCCTAGTATGGGTAGTTCTGGAAGCATTTTGGGGCACTTGGTCTGCAGTGGATTGTACAGACAGTAGCATATTTGTCGAATCAAGCCTGTGAGCACAGAAAAGTGATTGAGGGAGGAAGCCAAGATACCCAGAGGATGACGAGGAAGGCAGTCATTTCTATTTACTAAAACCTAGATTAGGGGGGAAACGAAGCGGTGCTAAACGTCGATGAGTTGGCTTCTGATTCAGTTGGGAGTAACCATTGTGAAGGACATTGTATTGTACTACTACGAAGGCCGAGCTATCGGCCGCGATGATAGAAGTGGGGGACGAAGGGGAAAGGGACGAATAATGCCAAGCAACCAAGTCGAGGTGAGAACACTAAAGGAAAGCTCCACGCCGGGCTAGAGAATACCAAAAAAGTTTCATGCCATTTGCTTCTGTTTCGGCAACCGACAAAAAGGGTTGCGTTGTCTGACTAGTCAGTTACCTTTTGTAGCTATGTACGATGTTGGATTGGTGTTATTTGTCACTCTTGTCACTCTTGTCAATTTTCTAGGGGGGTTTTTGGCTCAACTGCGAGGCAGACCTGTAGCCGACTTGATGCTGCTCATGAATTTGGCCAACAAGCGACTGTCTGGCTGCTCTTACCAGCAAGCATACCCATCCCTCAATGTAAGGGGAAGAAATTCCATCTTCAAGGTATGTTCGTCTACACTAGGCGGATTATTGGTCCCCAGGGGCCGGCTTGCTACTGGCGTTGTCGTCGAGATGCTCGTCGCCGTCAAGGGCCGTATCGTGACGTTGTAAAGGGTCCGAGGACAGCGGAGGAGATAAGGTGGGACCGAGTCGAAGAGGGAGAGGAGGAGGAGGCGGTCGTCGGAATTTTGAATTAGAAATTCGATGAAGACAATCTCGTCGACAAGGGGGCTCGAGGGCGGAGGGTATCGATTCGTGTCGATTCGGTTCGATGTCGTCGTGGAAGTGAGGAAACGTATCTGCGGCGAGTTGGTTCTTCTAGTTGGGTTGGGAAGCCTTCACTGATGGCCGCTCCGATTTATCGAGAGCGAAATGGGTACGGATGTGCGTCTTGGATCTAGGACGAGGCTCGTCTGCTGATCGAGATGTAGAGATCGGACCCTCCGTCAGAGAACCACAGACCCAAGATGTTCAGACTCTGGAGGCAGACGTCAAGAGATCACGACTCTACGAGCACAGAGTCGAAGCAAAGAGAAGAGCGATATGGTAGGCCAGATGCGGCTACTCTCTTCTCGTTTTCGGGAACCGTATCTAGTGGCTCGATTTACTATGGGAAACCCAGCTCAGTACCTTGGTCCTTAGCTGGTGGTGCTTTCGACCGGCCGGCCGTCAAAACTCCGAGCCGGCCGGCCCGGATCCCTTCTCCCCCTTTTTCGCACCAACGGGTTGCCGACGCCCGAACATGCTCATGACCTGTGCCATCTGCAAATACTGTGGACTTGAGCCGCAATATTAGGGACTGGCTCAGGAACAAAGTTTCCGGCACCAACGAAGCGCGTGGCCGCCACAGCGTTCTGGCGGAGTCTAGACTCCCCGTTGGGACTTGATTCGTGGTGTAGATGGCTGTCCCTCGGGGGCCACGAAGAGGGCTAACGCGTATCTAGCGCCAGGAGCATCAGCCCTGTAGCATTGATTCAACTACTCAGCAGCCCGACGCTATTATGGTATACTAATGCAGTTGTAGATGAGGCTGACAGCTGAATTGAGCTTGTGGTTTCACTTTCCCTGCGGCCAGCTGCTTTTGTTCTTGACTCTTAGTCTGCACGATTGCGCTGATATTACCAGGGAATTCAATAATCAATTGAGAACCCGAGGACCTCGCGGAAGATTCGCTCCATGATTGCGCGGGATCACGATAGATCACCGCTACTTGTCTCAGGCTTTAGCCCTCTCCGCCTCAGCTTTCTCTCAAGTTCCCTCAACCCGTCTGCTCCCTCTACGCTCCTTCTTCGCGGTGAGACATTTGGGAAGACAACAAGCAAGACATGACAGGGGAGGGAAAGGGGGGGGGGGGCGTCTTCTTCTCGAATCTCGCGGGAGTCCGCAATGGTTTTAGCGGCAGCTTCGGTTGGAATGTCATTCAAGATACGGGGGGTATCGGTAGGGCAAATTAGCTTCCTCCTCTACGTATCCAGTGACTAATTAGTGTGAGCCGCGCGCGCGACTTATAGCTTTTCTTCGGAGGAGCCCGTTTCTGGGCGGCGTTGGAACTGGGTAAGGCGGTGTGAGACTGGGTGGTGGTGGTGGTCCAACGGCGAACCCGTGAGGTTACAGCCAATCCGTGATCACTGAGCAGTGTATCCCAAACTGGAGAAAGTCTCGGCCCTATATTTCTTCGTACGATGTATGCATACCGGCGTGGAGACTCGGGCAGAAAAACACGGAAAAGATGGAATAAGCAAGCTTTGCATTCGATGGCATTCCAGGCATGGTTCTAGAAAAAGAGGGAGAAACTGGAGGTGGGTGAATCTGTCATGCAAGGGGGTTTTAGTAGCACCGATCCTGATCATGATACCTTCCTTCATCTATATCCTACGATATGCAAGATGCGTGACGTGGTTCGAGCATGTGACAAAAGTGCAAACAATGCTGCAGTAACTCTAGGTCTGTACGTAGACCAGATGTCAAAACAAAGTGGGAAAAGTGGCTGGACCGAAGTTGCATCGCATCAGGCCGCATCAAATGTGGCCGTTATTGCCTGCCCCCGGGAACACTCGGTCAAAGGGGCATATGCAGTCATGTACGTAGTGTATGCATCGAACGACTGAATACTGCTTACATCATGAGCTTCAAGTGAGGCCGCCGGGGGTACGACGACAGGACCAGCCAAACTGCCGTTTATTGCTGTACCCGGTTTCGCAGACTTTGATAGGGCCTGCCAATGGCGTTCGCCAAGTTCCAAGTCGTTCCTTCTCGACGATGGGCAAACTCGGCGAAATAAGGAGTGCAACATTGGCATCAAGAGCAGCCAACAAGAACTAGAAAAGATTGGGGACCTGCGGCTCTTGGGTCCCCGAAGAAGCTACTGTTGCCGAAAGCCCACATGAAGAAGCTTGAACTTTGAAAGGCCCATGACAATCTCCTCCTGCTCCTCCTTCTCCTCCCCCACTCCGGCCGGCATCTCCCAAGCCTGCAGGCGATTCGTAATGACAATTCGAAAAGACGATGTAAGCCGCAGCGGGCCCCACCCATTCGGCCGGTATTTCGTATTGCGGCATTGGAATTTGGGGGGGGGGACTGGCAATTCCATTCATTTTCTTGGCAATATATCAGACTTTTGAAATCTCGAAAACGTACTCGACCGGGCGTGGCTAACCGCGGACTCTCCGCAAGTAAAAAAAAGGCTTTTTCCTGACTCGGCTAAAGTACGGATATTTGTATCCTGTTTGGAAGAAGTTCTGCCTTTGTCAAGGAACCTCATTGATTGCTAACACGAGAGTGTCGAGCTTCAACACGACACAAAGTACAACCTGGCAGCGAATTCACGACATCATACCCCATGTCCTTGTATGCCACTTTGCTAATCAATGCTCGCACTCTTTCTGATGAAACCCTCTCCCGGACTTAAACATGGTCTGCCACGGTCTGCTTACAGGAAACAACGCTTGAAAGTCGAAACAGAGAGTACACTCCACTTCGAAGCGACTCACTGGCACTTTTCGCCCCCGACAAAAAGCAACCCACTCCTGCCCACCGGTGCCACTTTCAAGAGTCAATGGAACGGCAAACAAAAAATTGGTCCCCCCCACTCACACTACGACGTCCAGGTCGGGTCCCTGCGAGGCGCGTTTTGTCCGCGCTCCGCCCCGCCCGACCGCGGCCGCCCCCGTAGGGGATCCACCGACGGCCCCGGCGGCTCAAGACCCCCGAACCGTTAGCGCCAAAAAATAACCCGCCGCGCGCGCGTTGGACATTTCGTGCCCGGGTTCCACCCATCGAAAATCGTCTTTTTTTTTTTTTCCCCTTTCCCCTCTATATTACCCAGGACCAGGTTGCACATCCCCATGCCAAGGTGGTGGAGGAGGAGGAGGAGGAGGAGCGTGCGGTAAACACATTATCTGCCCACTACCGCTGCGACGTCGTTGGTTTCGGGCCCCCGAGATCCTGGATGTGAGATCTGCGTGTTTCTCTCCCACTCTCGGGCTCAGAATGCCGAGCTTGCATTAGGGCCCGGGACTCAGGTGAAATGTCCATGAACTGCCTTATCCGTAGCGCGGACTAGTCATGTGATGATAGTCCATGGTGCCGTCGAGTTGAACGACGGCCTGGTTACGGCTGATTAGGTTGGCCGCCATTTCGTATGCTCCTGGGCTGTCTTGTGGCGTCAAGGCGCAGCCTTTGGTTGAGAATGTTGGCCGATGGGGTGCCGAGGCGCAGGTGGAAGGCTATCTGTTGCTATGCACATCAGCAGAAGCCAGTAATCTGTATTGAACTGCGAATGTATGGGGAAGGAGGAAGTTGTGGGCGTAGGCAGCCTACGATTCCTCCGTTGGGCGGAAGTTGGTGGAACGGGCTGTTTGCAACGGCCTAGACCACCTTCTAAATCCCCTTCTCTGCCGTCGATATTCTAACAGTATCAAGGTGTCACAGGTGTATCGCTGTTCTATCTACTGGAAACTCTAGACAGTGTTTTTTTTTTTGTTTTTGTGGCGAGATGGCTTGCCAGCGATCATGTCAAACAAATTGCTTTACCTTCACGAAGACGCCAAACGACCGTGTTGACCTGCGTGCTCACTATGTGATGGATGTTTCACCCGCCTCTGATCTCGAAGGTGTCTTTTGGTGACATCCATCTCAAAAAGGACGCCGCCATTGATAAAACCAAAGGCGTGCTCTCGCGAAGAGCTGCTTTTTACGGCGTGCTTTACACTCTTACGTTGTTGCACAATAACAAATTCATGTACATGCACTTAGACTATCGGTCTCTCTTACACACACATGCGCGAACCTTTCCCCAAGCATAGCGTAAGGCGAAATGTAGAAATTAGACTCAACTCGCGTGAAATAGAGAGTATACACAATAAATAATCCATCCTTAATATCGTGGTGACCAGCCCTTCTACCCGTTTAATCATCCATATCCAATGTCCACCGGGTCTTTCCAAGTAAACCCCCTTTACAAAATTGGGGGGAAATAGCAGGAGCAGCATGAAGTTATTCATGTCTCACTCCTAGTGTTCCCTGTGTTGTGCGGCTCTTTAGTGATACAAAGTTCGCTTTTTAAACCTATTTTGACGCCCTTGTCGATACTCACCAGCTTGTCGGACCAAACTTTGTTCCAGGCGCGGGCGTGGCCTGGATAGCCGTGCCCTGCGCATCCATCGTTGCAGTCACGATATCGTTACCCCACCATTTAGGCGGCTCAATCTTGTTGAGCGTGAAAGCCAAGAAGATGACGAGCGTGGCAAGTGCCAGGCCGAGGTCGAGACCCGACGAGGTGAGGTAGTTGAGGCGCGACCACCAGCCGAAGTGCTTCTTGCGGATGTAATGCTGGAAGACGTAGCCGACGATGCCCCAGGAGAGGTAGTTGAGAGGCGTCGCGGGAGGGATGGCGCCGGCACCGCCAAAGATGAGGGGCGCCATGAGGTACTTGACGGGGGACTTGGGCCACTTGAGGGCGGCGAAGTAAAAGATTACCGGGAGAATGGCGCCGAGGCCGAAGAAGATGAAGAGGCCGGAGTAGACCTGACCTGGGGAGAACATGCGGGCGGGACCGATGAGACCCCAGATTACGGATGCTGTGGACAGGAGCCTATTAGTTTTCTGACGCAGGAGGGGGTGGAGTTGAGGGATAAGTGAGGACGACGTACCGGCAAAGAAGACGCGGCCACCTGGGCAAGAGAACTTGTTCTCCTGGTGCGGCGTGCAGACATCGGGGATGTTCTTCAACGCGGCGTTGAGCACGGCGATTTGGATGAAGCAGGAGAAGGTAGTCGCAACGACTTGGCACATGAACATGGTTCTTGGCGGGATCTTCATGTAGTGGCCAAACTTCAAGTCAGAGACGAAGCTGAGAGACTGAGACATGGTGATGTATCCAAAGGTCTTGAAACTGTGTAACTTGTCAGCACGAAAAGGGTCGATGAAGTCGAGTGTGACGGTGTTACTCACATCATGAGCGCGAGAGGTCGCCCGGGCTGGATGTAACCGTAGATGAACTCCGTCAACACATTGAGACCAATCTGGTTGTTCGTGACAGCCTGAATGATG